GTGGATCCATGCTGTCGGGGTAGTCAAAGTATCGCTTCTCGAGCATCCGGGCCTCGATGGAATCCATGGCCGGGGTCAGATCGTGGTGGACGGCGTTCATGGTGAAGGAACTGAACACCTTTGCGATGGTGATGGCGACGGCGAATGCGACGCTTCAGTGAGGCGTGGGGAGTTGGGCTTGATGTCTACCCAAGTCATGACACCATGGCTGCTAAAGCGGCCTTCACTCGGGGCTTATGAGGTTCACAATCTAGATGCACAATCTAGATGCCACTCGTAAGAATTACGAAATATACTCCGGGGATGAATCCTTCCATCATTCCCACAGCACATCCCTATCCCCATCCCCCTCCCCCCCGGACCCCCCCAAAACCCGCCTCAGTACCGGCAACGCAGCCCTAACATCCCCACACCACGACTCCCCCGTCGCCTGATCCTCGGGCGCCAGAAACAAGAGAAAGAATTTTTGTGTCGGCGAGGAAGGAAGGGGGAGGGCGGAGGGGGAGGAAGGGAGGGTGTAGGGGGATAGGGGGGTTAAGGGCATTTTGTGCGATGTGATGATGTGATGATGTGATGTGTAAGACGAGCAAGCCAGTGTGTATCGATGTTTCGAGGGCGGGGATGATTTGATGCGGGATTGGGCGAGGTGGGGGAGTGATTGTTTCCGTCTTGCTTTGAGTATTCGACTTCAAATTTTCCCGCTTGACGATGTCAGGTGTCGAGAGCGAAAAAGTGTGGTGGGATTCGGGCAAGGATGGTTGGTGGGAGGGGAGAGGAGAAGAAGAGGGTGGGGTGGAATGTGGCAGGTCGGAGAATGGTGGGGGTTATCCAAATGGCGCTAGTAGGTGGAGTGTGTGCAGGGGGGGAAGTTGCATCGTATTGTGCACGGATTGGACGGACAAAACTACAAAAAAAAAAAGTAAGTGGGGTGCATTGACAAGTAGATGAGGAGAAAGAATAATCAAGATTGAGGGATGATAGAGGGTGGCTGTGTTGGTATCTATTTGATGTCCCTTATTCTCAAGATAGAGAAAGCGTGGGCAAAGGCTGTTATATACAGAGCCCACAACCTTCCACGTCCGAGTACACTGAATGGAGAATTTGGAAATCTAATCGTCCCAGGTATCCGCCATGTCATGGCCCAACGCCCTCCCCAGACCTGTTCCAATCACATGGAAACAGAAAACAAATGAGGAGACTTCCATCCCCCACCCCCAATCAATTACCCAAGAACCCCCTCAACGCACTCTCAATCTGCTGGTCGTTCAACCCCTGAGCCTGCATCTGCAACGCTCTCTGCTGTTGCTGTGCCGACAATTGGCTTTGTAATACGCTGCCCACACTACCTGGCGCCGGCTGCATGACCGCACCATTCGAAGCTGGCACGTCGGCCCCATTCGAAGCTGGCATGTCGGCCCCATATGGGGACACAAACGAAGGGGGTGCAGCACCTGGAGCATCACCACCGTTCATCATACCCATCATATTCACCATCGGCCTACCAGCACCCACACTGGCACCAGGACCAGAACCATTCTCCGCCTTGGCCGCCGCTGCCTTCTCCCTGTCCCTCTTCTTCTGCTGCACCAACGTCCCCTTGACACCTCTCAGGTACTTGACCGCTGCATCCACCAACTCCTTCTTCTCAGGGCTATTCTTCAGCGCCTCAAGCATGGCGCGAACTTGGGTCTCGGACTTGATGTGAGGACACGTGCGGCTATGCCCATAGTGCGCCAGGCCACAGAGCCCGCAGTGCTCGACGCCGGCCACTTTGAGATCACAGGCGCCTACGGGATGGGGTTTGCGGCACGCGGGGCACATGCGAGCGACGGCTGGATTGTGGTATGTTGGATCGAGGGGGTTACGGAGAGGAAGGGTAGCACGGTGAAAGGGTTTCACTGTAGATGATGCGTGAGTATTGTGGTGTGGAGAGGCCTGATGGGGTGGGGGAACGGGATAGGGGCCGTGGGGTGGTGGGCGGTAGAAGCGTAGATCCTCTCGCTGAGAGGTAGAGTCGAGATTTATCAAAGCACCACCTTTGATCGGAGGTGGATCACGCAGCTCTGCTCCACCATACGAAGGATACGGGTACATCCCGGGGCCACGTGGAGTCGGCAGCTTTGCAGATAGCGCACCACCTGCGAGATTCTGGGAAGACGCACCTGCATCATTGGTAGGTTTGGTCTTGGCTGGTTCATCAGGGTGGAGGGAGCTGGAGCGAGCATTTGCTTCAGTTTCGCTGGCCTCGGTTTCCTCGTCGCTTGTCGCCTGGAAGTCGGTATCGCTCTCTGAGTCAGCCTTGCTCTTGCGCTTCTTAACCTTCTTGATAGCAGATGATATTGCGAGGTTATCCTCGAGCGGATCGTCGTCTTGTGTTGACGTAAAGTTGAGATCGCCTTTCTCGGTGGCATAGTCGACAGCCTATGCTTGTTAGTGGACGCCATCAAAACCAAAACATGGTACATACTGCTTTCGCTCGCCTTCCACGGCCCATGGCTTCTGCTTGTGCAAGTGCTTCAGCCGCGGCCGCTGCTTGTCGTTCTTTCAGAATCTTGTCCCAGACACCTGGATCAGGAGCAACTTCTTCGTCGACAGTGTCAAAGTCGTCTTGAAGACCGCCTTTGTCCTGCGCCCAGACACGTGCAAAACTGAACTGGGTCTCCGCCGAGGCGTCATCGCCAGTCTTTGTGCTCTCGATCTGGCTACGATCTAATAGCTTCTCAATCGAAGCATCGTCATATCGAATTTCATGGTCCGCATCGTCTTCTTTGAACAGCTCCGCAGCACCAAACTTGAGAATCGACTCAACATCGTGGTCTTCAATGTCATCCGTGTCAAGCTGCTCCACAACGACATGGTCAAGCGCCATCTTCTTCCTGCCCATCTGCATGATCTTCTCCTCAACCGACGCTCGTGTAGTCAGCTGGAGACACAGCACCTTCTTCTTCTGACCGATACGATGGGCCCGAGCAATTGCTTGCAAATCCTGATGTGGGTTCCAGTCTGGGTCCAGGATGATGACGGTATCAGCAGTAGCCAGATTGATACCCACACCACCAGCCCGTGTCGAAAGCAGAAAAGCGAACAGAGGTGAGTCAGGCGCGTTGAACTGGTCGATGCGCTTCTGCTTCTCCAATGACCCCATGGTACCATCGAGACGCTGATAGCTCAGTTGCATGCCGTCTAAGAAATCTTCGATAATATTGAGCATATCAAGAAACTGACTGAAGATGAGCACGCGGTGACCACGTTCTTGCAGTTTTGGCAGCAGAATCTCCAAGAGACTAAGCTTGGCAGAGGCTTCGACGAGATTGCGATGCGAAACAGCGGCGATGTCGGTCCGTTCCTCGATCTCGCGGCTGTAAACGAAGGGGTGGCAGAGACATTTGCGCAACTGCATGAGAATATTACTCAAATTAGCACGTTCCTGCTGTTTAAGCGACTGTGTCGACGTAAAGAGTGCCTTCAACAACTCGGGACTCTTCGACAGAATCGACTTGTACAGCTGCTTTTGCAAGTGGCTCATTGAGATCGGCAGAATGACCTGGCCCAGCGGCGGAAGGAAGGTCAAGACTTGGGCCTTGGTCCGTCTCAAGATAAAAGGACGAATCTGATCGTGTAGCTCCTTGACATTCTCTGAGGTCATCTCTGCATACTTTTCTTCCAATGCTGCGGCGTCAATCGTGTCGTCGAGGAAATGCAGCAAGTTGAACAGCTCCCGAGCGTTGTTTTGAAGGGGTGTGCCGGTGAGAAGTAATCTGAATGGCGACTTTACAGCAGTCAGAGCAGTGTACAGTTGACTCTTGTCATTCTTCAGTCGTTGACCCTCGTCGATGATCATTCCGGCCCAATTCACGCTTCGGAAGAATCGCCTACAGCTTTCGTCTGCTGCGGCTTCGTAGGAGGTCACAACAATGTGGCAGCGCAATTCCTTTGTACCTTCTGGGAACATTTCATATTTGTGAGCCATGTCTCGAGCCTGTGAAGATCCAAAATATGCGACAACTCGTAGGGAGGGTGCCCACTGCTTGATTTCTCGCCGCCAGTTGGCACACGTCGAGTTGGGAACGACAATGAGGAAGGGAAAACAATTGTGCTCTTGGATCAGAGTGGCCAGAAAAGCGATGACCTGGATCGTCTTGCCCAAACCCATCTCATCTGCAAGAATGCCATTCTTCTGGCTATACCACTGGTAGTAAATCCAGTTCAGACCTTCGATTTGGTACTTCATCAATTCTCCACCGACGAGGGCCTCTGGCTGCTTCTCCCGCTCCAGTTTGGCAAATGGCGTATTGCGGGCCTTTTCCAGACGCATCCTGAGCGGTCCTTGCTTTGGGTAACGAATGTAGCGTCCGGCAACCCAATCGTTGTACGCAGTGACGAAATCGAGCCAGCGTTCACCATCTTCGGGTGTTGGGACCTTTTCCCAGACCGAATCTTCGTAGCCCAGACCCTTGTATTTGATCAAAGCCTTGTCCACTTCCTTGATCCGAGCCTTGTCAATCTCCTCACTTCGGACTTCGACATAGCTGGTATACTTGATGTCCAGGACAATGTCAATGCGCAGATACTCTTCTGGAATAGCATCCTCTGTCCGCATCTTTGGGCCGTCCTCACGCTTGAAGAAGGCCTTACGCATAGCAGGGGCTGTCACACCCCAAGTCCAAGCACCAGAGAACCAGGCTGCGCGGAAGTAGGACTGCCTCTCCCACTTGAGCAAGTACTGCTTGTCATCTTCGCTGACCAAGTCACACGGAGTCCCCGGCTGGTATGTCTCCACATCCGAAGGTCGCCACGCGATGATGCCTCCCACCTTTTGGTCTTGTGTATCGACACACTCTTTGCAGAGCCACTTGTTGGAGTACTCTCGGAACCTTTCTTCAGCCATTTGTTCCTCGTCGCGATTGACATCCATTGCGTACTGAGACATGGGTGGCAGGTGATGATAGTGCCACGCTCGAGAGCACTTGGTACAGCGGAACAGAACATTGTGTGCATTGTTAATCAGATTGGGAGCAACGGCAACAATGGGGTCCTGTCCATCATTCTCCTCTCTGTCCTTCATCTCTTGCTGCGTGGTCTTGCGTCGCCGGAAAGGCTGACAGGCTGCTCCCGTGTGAGAGCAATCCTGGCACCTCGAGAGATCCGGAGCAGTAGGATCCTTTTTCTTATAGAAGTTGATGCATCGCTTACACTGCAGTACAAAGTTCTGATCACCGACCTTGGTGACAAGGTGATCGCGTGTAGAGCGGTTGCCCAAACAATTCTTGTGGTATGCAAGCGAGCAGCCTTGACAGTACACCAGGGGCGCGACATTGGGACCGTCGTAGCACACTTCGCAGCCTTCGGCGTGACGGGAGCGAAAGAGGTCGCTTCGGGGTAAAGTGGCAAATATCTCGCGGGTGACAGTCAACTTTTGCGCAGCTACGCGAGGCTCAGAGTCCGAACGGTAAACATCGCCCAAGCCGGGATCTTGCATATTGTTTGTCGCCCTTGTTGCGCGATCTGACTGGCGCAAGCCCACGCGTGGGACCTTTGCAGGCTTTGAGGGCCGTCCCCTGCGCTTCCGCTTACCCCCGGACAGGACGTCTGATCGAAGAATGTCTGCATCGCTCGAATCGCTGGCCATGTCATCGCTGTCATCCTCAGTGAAGGTTTGTTGAATTGGCACAGGCTGCCTGGCAGACCGCCGCGTTGGTTCCTGTGGTACCTTGCGCTGTTTCGGTCTCCCCTTCCTCCGCCTGGCAGGCCCATCTTCAAAATCATTTTCCTCACTTGTAGACAGCTCGATGAATCCCGCACCACGGTTCTGCCGTGAGGATCGACCACTGTCGGACCTACGCACCGCCAGTGTTTGTGTTCGTCGACTGCGGGGCTGGGGATCGTCAAAGTCGGACTCGTTGTCATCGTCATCTTCCGAAGATAAAAGCGTGATGGTGGATATGTCGACAAAGCCGTTGCTTTTCGCCCGGCCAGTCCCCCTGCGCAACCTCATGTCGCCTTCGTCTTCGCTCGGTGGTGTTTCGTTCGAGTAGCCGTGCAAGGAGAAACGTTGCAATGCTTCTCTTCCACCGGACAATTGGATGAGTTCGTCAAAGCTTACCTATGATGGCTCTTAGACATGGGTGGGGAGCAGTGTGAGGGAGATAAGGGAGCATATATAGCCGAGTATCACTGCTGCGGCTCACGCAAACGCCCTTTGCCTCACCGATCGCACCATCTTGACTCACCTGCTTGATCTTGTCTCCCCACAGCCTCACCTCGTACATGATCTGCTCGCGCTTCATGTATTCACGCACCACACTCTCAACATCTTTAGGCTCATAGCATGTGTAATCTTCCCTATTTCGGACTGGAGAAACGCGCACATATGCCAACTTGCGCTTCAATGGTGGCTTATTGACTGGTGTAAAAGAACTGGCACCGGGTATAGAAGCGTTTGACAGGGCTCTTGCGGGTCTCGATGTGCTGCGGGGGGTAGCACTTGGTGTGCGCGCGGATTTCTTTTTGAATGCGGCCATGAGTTGCGAGCCATCTTCGGATGAACTCATTTTATTCGTGGTATGTAGAAGATTTCTACATTTATAGTAGCAATGCGCGGACACGTTCGCAGGATTTTGTGAAATGCGCCTCTCGGGACGTGATTCACCACGTAGATGATCGGCCGTGTAAATGCAATGTCGACTCGTAGCCACCCAGCCGCAGCAGCAACCCTCGCAATGAATCCAGAAAGCAAAATTAACAACTAAATGTACGAGACCGATGGCGTCGCGTCCTGGTTATGCGCCGTTTGCTGGAGGGGTGGTGAATGCAGAAACATGTGTCGTGGGACCCGTGATGTCGCGTTTTGCGCTAATTGCGGTGTCTGTGCACCACGCGATTGGGCTTAACTACTGAGCGTACAGATCTAATTGCTGATACTATAATACCATCTCTTGCATAGTACTTTTACACAAGATATAAATTACAGTCATCATGACATGTCCTATCCAGCATCAGACAACACCTGTACAAAGTCATCACCCTCCCTCAAGTCTAAAAGAGAAGATCTTCGGACTTGAGATCCGGTTGCGTCCTCGGTCTCTGCAGCATCTCATAACACAACAGCGATGCCGCCACACTAACATTCAGACTGTCAACACCCACCTCGTTGACATCACGGCCGTGGGGAATCCCAACGTTGTAATGTGCTAGCCTCAACAGACTCTTTTGCAAGCCGGAGCTCTCTGCGCCCATCATTAAGATCGTGGGGTGTTCTACGACCGGACAATGGTCGACGTCGAGTCTTTTACTACTCTGCGGTAAGGTGTAGACGACCTTGCTGATCTCTGTCTCTGGAGATTGATTCGATGGAGGTGCTGGCGGGGCCGTGTTACTGCTGTAAATTTTCCAGCCCGCTTCGGAGCTTTTGGCGAGGAAATCTGCAGGTTTTCCGACTTTGAAGATGGGGATCGCTTCTGCGGCACCGGCTGAGGCTTTGAGCGCAATGTGGCTCCATGGTGCAATGTGGTGAGTAGAGGTGACGATGGCGTCGACGCCGAGGAAATAGGCGGAACGGGCCATGGCTCCCAGGTTGCCTTCGTCAAGCTGTGAAGCAAGTTAGTTTGGATCAATGCAGAGACAGCCTCGGACCCACCACTCCATCTATATATAGTATGAGCGGGTGTCTCCACCCTCCCGATTTATATGAATACAGTTCGTTCCTGCCATTGACAAGTGTATCCTCGGCAGTCTGTGCATCCAGTGCAACACCAAAGTTTTGATCCTCCATCGAAGGACTTTTAAGCGCGACAATGGGAGGCACAGGCAGCGGGGACGACTCCAGCACAACACCATTGTGCGGTCGACCCGAACTTGCCTTGTCCATCGCTTGCAGGTACTCATCACCAACCTCGCTCGTGATAGCAAAAAGCTTATGGGCTCGAATCTTGGTCATGAGGCCATCTCTCTTGCCTCTTTGCGAGTGAATGTACAGCTTGTAGAGTTTACGTCGATTGGCCTTGATGGCAGCGATTACGCTCGAATGCCCGTATATAAATTCCGAGGCGGCCGTCGTGTATGGAAGCGATTCGGGCCCGCTCTGAAATGATCGTGGAGCTTCACTTTTGTGACCGTTGACCCTGCGATCAGGACCACTCTCAGTGCTCTTTGCCCTATGTGGCTCCCGCTCCCCATCCGGTGCACTGCCTTGGTCGTCCTTTCGGAGATAGTGTTTACCATCCAAGTTCCAGCGGGGATAGCGTGTATTTGCATGCTTGTTCAGTATATCTTTGTAACGCCAAAGTTCGCCCATTCGGGCCAAACTGCTCTTTGTCTGCTCTTCACTTGCACCCGGTTTTACAATCCTCTCCGACCGCGCTTCTCCTTTTCGTCTAGGATCCACCTCATCCCAATCTCCATGCTTCCGCCGACTAGGCAATCGATCATCTCTGGCCCTTGGTGGCCCCAACCGGCCAGACCTCCTACTCGCACTCTTCGATTGCCCGAAAGAATCCCTATCATTGTGATCCTGCTCAATGCCTCGTCTGAAGCTCGCACTTTGGCCATCCCCATCGCTATATCCCCTTCCCATCCCTTGACGCCGATACGGCGGTGCTGAATCTAAGTCCCCATGACGTCTCTCCTTCCGATCCCACCCTGACGAGGAATCTCCTTCCCCGTCGCGAGTGAAGTGTCTAGACGGAGAAGATGCGGGAGACCAGTTTGAGGGTGAGGCGCGGCGTTTACCAGCTTCAATAGATTGAGTTATGGATTTCTGGCGGGTGAAGGCGCGGGGGAGGAGAGTGGTGCGAGTCAGTGTGGTTCGTAGACTGCTACGCGACACGAGGGCGTAGACCATAATAGTTTGAGGGAGGGGAGTGTTGTTGGTGTGTGAAATATTCTGGATATGCCGAAAAATTATTGCAAGGATGTGCTAGTGGGACACGGGCGCACGTGATCATGATACCGGCTCGGGCAGGCCGTGAAGGCCACTTGGGACCGCGGGTGAGATGCTGTCATTGCGAAGACAGCGTGGAGATGATATTTTGGAATTCATTACTTTTTTAAAACATGCTGAGAGAAGCATGAGCAACAAGATGATATCGCGAAGGGTATTCTAGCACGATCGTATGATGACGCCTGCGATACAATCAGAGGAAAATCAGAGCCATCAACCCCAGAATGCAGGTGTCCGTTGCAGCAATTTGCGCCAAGAAAAAACCGCCACAGATATCCCGCCGAAGCCATGTTCCCACCCAACCAGCAACCATTAAGTATCGATTCGCATTTGTTTTCGTTTACTGCATATTGCCTCGGGGGCCAGGCAGACTGCCATAGATGTCGGTGCCCCTCCTACTACTTGGAGCCAGACTACTCGCCGCCACACTTGTAACACTCATCGCATCCTGATCGCGCTGATAGCTATACTGCGTGCCCGAGCCTGCATCGCCGCCCTTCCATCCGTTGTCCCAAGCTGCGATGCGCGAGATTAACCTACTGCAACATTAAATCTTCCCAACAAGCGGGTCTGTTTGCATAGTCGCTCTCACCGATCGTCTTGCTCCACATAAGATCCGTCGGGGATCGCTTCATAGTCGCCTTCGGAGGGGAGGTAGATGGCAGATGCTGCGATGCCGATGGCAGTAACGGTCAGAAGGGACCAGCTGGCAGTGCAAAGCGACCAAGAATGGTCAAGGTGCCAGCCCTTCCAGAAGCGCTCGTCATGGTTGAAGAGGAATGCCTAGGCACATTAGTATACAATACGGGCAGGGAAGGTCTCGCTCTGGTGAAGGATCAAGGCACGCACCACAATAGCCATGCCTGCGCATTGCACGACTGCGCTGAAGGCCAGAATGCCAACCGCGACCTGCCATCCTGCTGCTCTGCGCTGGACGCCCCCAGCCATGATGATGACCAGGGAGACAATCGTGCAGAGTTCCACCACGACGCCAAAGGAGATGAGGAACCCGACTGTCCTCCACATGTTGCAGAAGGACGGGTCCTTTGTGCAATCGCTCGCTCGAGGAAAGGGTACGCAGGTGGCGGTCACGGCTGAACAACGGCTATGCAGGCCATAGGAGTATTCGCGCTTGCCACTCTGGGAAAATTGTTGTTAGAGCCTGAAGTTGCATGGTGCAGAGAGAAGAAGAGACGTACTGGGCTATAGCTGACCCATTTGGGCATGGCAATACTTGCCAGGGTCATGATTGTAGCTGCGCATGTTAATGTCTGATCCGACCACCTGACCACGTCCTGGTATACTGACCGGTCAGGGTGAGGAGGAGCCCTGCGCCATACACTATGCTGCGCGTCATGGTGGACGAGTGTGGTGTTGGATGCAGATTCAACGTCTCTCTACGACGACGCTTTCTTTGTGTGGCGCGAGGCAAGTAGGTAGGTTTCGTCGGCGTGCGACTTTGAACGTATGGCGCGTAATACAGGCAAGAAGGATGCTCAACAGTCGCCTGTTGTGGTAGGTAGTTGCTCAGGCGTTGCGTGCAGATTGCCTGACGCAGCAAACAAGACAGTGGCGGGTGAGCCAAGATGGGGGGGGGGGTGGCACTGGGTGGGGGAAATGAGGGGGGAAGAGAGGAGAGAGAGGAGAGAGAGGAAAGATGGGCTACAGACACAGTCCTAGAGTACGAACGACTGTGTAGTATTGGTATGGAGCGACAGGTGACGGCCTGGGTAGGCACGCCACCATAAATAGGTATCAAGTGGGTAGTAGAGTAGAGTATAGTAGCTGGTAGAGTAGAGTGCTCTACTAGTATATCGGGAGGATTGGGTGGAAAACCTGGAGGGTTGTTGGTGGTTGGTTGGTTGGTTGGTTGGCTGCTGGTACTCTACTCTAGTAGGCCGGCTTTGAATGAGGGACCCTGGTGGTTGTCTCACGGGGGCTAAGAGGTGAATGACGACAGGGCATGTCAAGTTGGCGTTGGCGTTGGCGTTGTCCAGTCCGCGGCAGTCCTGTCGCCCCCCCCCCTCCTTCACCGCTAGAATAGTACGCTGTTGCAACACCAAGGAAACAATGGCGCCTACGGCGGTCACGACGTTCTAGCTAGCGACAGATTCTTGTCTCCAGACTTGCCTTGCGCATTTGCTTTTTCTTCTTCTTCGGCGACTGCCCCCACTACGACAGGGAGTGCGCGAGCTTGATGCGGCAAAGACCTTTCATTTCAAGACTGACTGACTTTGGCGATTGACCCACAGAGCGGCCCGCCATGGAGATTCTGATTGGCGGTGTCAATTGCCATGTTGTGCTTTTACACAATCCATTGTATATAGTACCACTTGGCCCCGATTGCTTGCGAGATTCCCCGCCTTGTACTGGGACACCTACTCTATTTCCAGGCATATCCCAGGTCCTTTCCTCGACGGCCGTGCCAGCGTTTATTTTTTTTTTATTTTTTTTCAGCCCTTTTCCTTCTCCTACTAACTAACAATATTGTACACCGAGGATTTGCAACATCTGCTGCACTTGGCACATGCTCAGACTGCGCGGCAAGAGTTTTGCGTTTGGCCGAGAACAGAGATAACACCATACTCGCTTCATAGCAGATCGCCGTCGTCACGTTCCCACAGCCTTACCGATCAGCGCTTTGGCTTGAGCAGCAGCATGTGAGAACACGAGGGGTAAATATTCCCATGGCCGTTCAGATGGCATTCTCACAACACCATGGCGGCCACACAGATACCTAGTGAATACGCTGGCACCATATGTTCCTGTTCCTTTTAGGCCATGGCAGTCTCCTTTTGCAGACGTGCGAGAGGAGTTTTTTTTTGGCGCGCCATAGCAGTGCTACTAGGGCTCCTAGCGATTCTGGGGTAGCGTAGGTGCCGGTGAGGTACCTGGCGCTGTGCGATAACGAGCACTGGACTGGTCGTCATACCCGAAAAACGAGGCCAAAAATGTGCAGCCTCCCAAGGTGCATCACACGATGCGACGTCCTGCAGCTGCAGATAGTGAGTTGACGTAGGTGGTTGGACAAGCTTGGAATGACGGGTCGCTAGTATAACATAGCTGATGCCTTGCATGGATACAAACGCACGTCTTACCCCAACACAAGCCCTATAGGCTACCTGTGATTGCGTTCTGCACACGCCTGGATACAATGTCATGGCATGCTGAAGTCCTAGACTAACATGCTCCTTATATGCGTTCTATGTACACTATTCTGAGAATCAATACATGCAATCACAGCATCCTCTACCATAACAGGAAAAAGGTCACTAGTATTCGCTACACTGTTTGCTCTGCTTCTCATGACACCAATAACTATGTCCTGTAACAACATCATCATCACGATACGCTATTACCCCTGGAAAAAACAACATCTTCATTCTCAAAGCTACAATTGTTGTTACCTACATGGGGAAAGTCATAGGTCTTAAAACCTGATTATGCGAGCCAAAATCTCAATGTGAGGTACACAATCGTATCTTGTGCACACGCTTGGTAACAGAATTCTGTATATATTTCCTGACACTAGCACTTGTGTTAGAAGTTGTACAAAAGTATTAGATTACCTATCAGCAGGATTGCTATAATATCGTGCCCTTTCTAAACAGCCTTCCTAGCAGTCTACGCCAGATACACGGGGTATAACGCCTAACTTGAGACAACTAGTGAATAATGCCTTGGGACAAGCAAAAAGGAAACTTTTTCATGACAGGAAAGAAATCAAAAAAACTTTGCATTGACCGAGAATCGAACTCGGGGCTAGCCGACGCTGGACGTCTGTGAAGACAAATGGCAACGGCTAATTTTACCACTAAACCACCAATGCTGGACAACTTGAATTAACTTGATGGAAGAAAGTTGCATTTTATACAAGATATACTGGTTAGTAATGAAAATGCCCTGGCGGCTCGGGAGCGTGGAGAAACATTAATCCCCTGTTTCTACCTTCATAGTGCGGCAATTGTGTCTAGTCACACCGCAATGGCTATAGTTCCTCCGTGCGCGCATTCTTCGCAAACGTCTCGCTCTGCTTACGACCACTACAATACTGTTCCGCAATCAAATTATTTGCCTCACCAAATGTTAGAGTGTCTCCTGCCAGTACATAGCGTTGTTCACCACTCTGGCGCATGTTAACGCCTAGATGGCATCTCGAAAGCGGTTAATTACAACATCTCCGTCATGACCACCATGCGGTATTGTTTTAGCTTTCTGCTGAGCGCCCTTACTTGACTGCCTGATCTACTCACATGAAGAAATTGCTAGAAGTCCCCGAGGCATTTGTATGCGGTTTCGATTCAGCTTTGGTTTGAATTACGCGGCGTTTTCGCCTTCTGGTCGTGGAGTCGGCGTTGGTACTCGGCCTTAGGTAGGTATGGTACCAAGCTCGAGAACACCACCTCTAGGTTGTGTTGCGTTAACCTAGTGGCCTTGATAGGATGCTAAAATTCTCTTGCTTGTGTGAACATATGCTCAAAGCTTCTTTGAAGGTTGGTCAGAAGATTCCTTTGCAAACATACTAGATGAGACTACGTGCCAGGACCAAAATTGAGGTGGCCTACTATTAGTATCTCACTGCGCTTCAACGAGGACAGGCAAACTTCAGCGGTTACAATAGACGCGAAAGGGTGGGGAGGGATGTAGATAGCGATAATTTCCCTCTCCTTATAGTGATCCTGAGAATTCTCCGAGCAGAGGCTCTCATGGCCATCAATAATGGGCAGCCTATACTCCCAGAGAGTGAAGAAGATTCAGATCTTTAGGTCCTATTGACTCTCGTGATAAGTCCGTATACTACGATAGCTCAATATACTCAAGTCCCAAGGTTACATCCGTAAAGCTGGGAAGTTGTTGAAGAGCATATCTTGCAATGCTAGATGAGCACAGAAATTTGGAGCAAAGATAAAAATACAGGTAGATTAATAGTCCTCTATAAAGCTCCAAAGAAGCCAAGTCGGCGATGAGGACGGTAGGTCACAACGATTCTGCGACCACGCACGGAATCCAGGTCTCCAATTAATCTGCTAACCCACAAAGTAGCATCTGCAAGAACATGAAGCTTGCAGAGCTCCATCCCAATCGGTAGCCAAGACGAAGTCTTTCACGCTATCGTTCGATCCTGCGCGTCCGCAAGCCGTCAAACACATCGTGGTATCACCGCATCTGTCGTCCGGGCAGTTCCTCTGACCTACTTTATCACGACGTTTATAGTCACAAAAAGTTCTTGCCATTCCTCGTGTTCCTGCTGGACCAGGGATGGCATTTGCAGTGGCGACGGCGACGGCGGCTAGTATCATAGACCAGACAAGCTTCATGGTGAATGAATAGTTGTGTATTGGGTTTTGGGGCTTTGTAGAGTATATGATGGAGAGGCGGTAAGATTAGATGAAGGCGGACGGTCTAATCGATGTGGTGAAGTAAAAAGTCCCAAAGGTAACGAATCTACCAAGACGTAACAAAATTGCAAAAGAACTTGCAGAGGAATGAAGTAGCGTTGAAAGGCTGCTGAGGTATCTTGATTGCAGTGAAGACAGTTCCACCCGGGTCACTTAGGGTTTATATATGTTGTCTCCTGATTGTCAGGACGCGGGGCTCCGCCGGCCCAAGGGGCCCAAGCATGGGCCAGAATGGCCCGGGTTGGACGGATTATGTGATCATGGGCAGTATAAATACCCGTGAGAATCGATACACACGGTATCGATTTGTTTGGTATCCAATTAGACACCTATTGTCCCAATCTACCTTTTGAACCTCTATCCTCCCACTGCGACTTCTTACACTGATTCAGCGATCTGGAAATGCACAAATTCTCCAAGATTGGCCTGTGAGTCTGATATGGTTACTGTGTACGCAGCACGATAAGAGTCATTTTAGCCAGGATTAAAGATGCTATACCTGATATGTCCATGTAATTTAGTACAAAATTAGATCAAATGCTCGTATCTACCCCCTGAAGGACTGCTAGCGTCAAAATCCCTCGTCTTATATTGTGAAAGACCACCATACAATGATTACCAGCACTACCGTAAAGACCGGCAAGTAGAGGTTGGGCTAAAACTGGGCGCGAACCTAAGTAGGAGTAGCAGATGGCTCATGCGGTTATAATTTGGCCCGTGCACAATGGGTAACAGTGCTGGATTTTGTCTATCTATTATCAGAACTTTAATATTATGCTATTGTATACTATATTTTATATAGGGAAACTATTCTACAGTATTAATACTATGTCTGTACTAACTACCGTACTCTTAGTCTTAGGCTTACCTCTACCTAAATAAGCAATCGCGATAGCTTTAAAATAAACTACAATCAACTTACATATAATATTAACACGGAAACTAGATATTCTGCATGTGGACAGGAAGAAAAGAGGTGGATTTAGCTGGGCTGCGTTCCACCCGAGGAGTTAGGCGCCCAGCTGCGGTGTCAATAAGCAAGGTGGGGCGCCCATTGGTCCGACACTAGCCTAGCCTCTACCGGTATTCGCCGGTCTTTACGGTACCATGAACGGACTGCTGGGTCAACGTAAAGTGCACACAGTGCGACTTTGGACAGCGTGCTGTTTAGAAGGCTACTTACAATGTATGACCAGCACCGCAGACAAATCCAATCTCGTATTAGGTACGCTAACCAGAGGGCTAACGCTGGAAACAGCTCCTTCTGCAAAGGAAAAGCAGTACCTCGAAATACCTACGTCCTTATGAAACCCCTCTACGAATTATTCAAGCCGCTATAACGTGACTCGAGAGAAACAGCTGCGCTAGCTTTGCGGCCTATGTGAGCCCCACTCACTGACACGCCAGCTCAATTTTCTCCTTGGAAGGAACGCGGCAATTTCCAAAGACCTTAGATGCTCCAAGAATACATGTGTTCTTCACAATTACTTCCTCGTTCCTCAGTGTTTCTGTCCTCCAGGATATAGTGTGGTCTGTGGGATACGATGTCCTGGATAGGGGGCTATAGTTTAAAAGACTCGAACTATAGTAGAAGGAATGAGATGCCAGCATTGACAGCTAGGCACTCGGTTTAGGTGTTCATTGTGTTTGCAAGGGGTCTTTTGATCGATTATTTTGTAGTAACATCGCAGGCTCAGAGCCAGTGGAATCCATGATGACTCGTTCTGAGATCCCCGACGTACTTCCACTATTATACTAAATGGGTACATACTATACTGGATTTAGTGCTTTGGCAATCGCGTTTCAAACTCGAATTCTACAAGATCCTATGATGAGTATGAATTTGGTACGTAGTTAGATGAAAGCCGAAGCTTTATGTGCGGGTTTGGATTAATGACAAGTAGATTACGCATGTACAGGGTTCATCATGACCTGTAGATGTGCATCCGGATAGTATGGTAGGAAGATGTCGCGCCATGCCAGCTTATCTGGTCTGGATCTCGTCAGTCATAGATGGGGAAGACAAATGAGTATGGAAGCGATTGACTGAAGAATGTGTGTCCGATAAGAAGAGGTAGACGTACAGAGAGTCAGCAGCGACAAGATCAAACTTGCGGTAGACGTGGGCAAAAGCGAGCCGTAGTTCTGCCCAAGCCAGACTGTATTTGCACATAAGCACAAATCTGATTGAGTTGACGCGGGGTATGGGACAGACGTACTTGATTCCCAGACACATGCGCACACCACGAGAGAAGGCTACGAGCCAATGGTCGAGTTCGTGCGACTCGAGCCATCGTTCTGGGATGAACCTTTCTGGCTCAGGGAAGATGGAAGCATTATAATGTACAAAAGTGCTTCCACACGCGACATGGGCCTAGGGAATGATCAGTCGATCCTGATAGAAATCCCTTGGTTCATTTGAAATAGGAAGTGGACTTACTCCCGGTGGTACAGAGACTCCGGCTATTGTTGCACCTGTTGCAGGTACAACGCGCATCAGGCCAGATGTTACACCAGATGATAGCCGTAGAGATTCCTTGATGATGGCGTTCATATAAGGTAGTTTCTCGAGATCGCGGAGCTTTGGCCCATCCGTTTTGAGCAAGGGCCACGCTTCATTCAATTCTGCCTTGAGTTTCTGCATCTTCTCTGGATTTTTGAGAAGGTGGAAGGTGCCGACCATGAGGGTGTTGCCAACTGTGTCTGCGCCACCAAACATGAGAGCTTGGCCTTCTTCGTAAAGACTACCAGCAGATGGAATAGTTTTGTCGGGATAAGCTTCTGGATCCATGAGACGATGGTAAACTGTCATATTGTGTGGTAGAAGCTTCAGCTTCTCTGGGTCAGCGGTGAGATCATGGATCTGCTGGAGTAACAACTGGGGAGGGTTAGTACGGACTACTTGTCAAAGAGAGGAGAGAGAGCGGACCTGGTTCAGATCAACCATGCCAGCGGTCAAGGGACTCATCGTCTTGGAGAGCTTAGGTGGAGACTTCATGATGGAGTTCTTGATCAGATTGGAATATTTGAAGAAAATGAATACAGGCAAAGAATTGTCCATGGCGACCACAATTGGCGCATTGAAGTCTGGCGCGCCTATGGCATGAATTGGCTTTCCAAAGCAAAAAGTTGTAATGACGTCGGTGCTTAGACACCGGAATGCATAGAAGAGATTTGAGCTTCTGGAAGCTTTGGTCTGTCGCTCAAAAGCTGCGCATAGCGACCTTGTCTCTTCAACCAGCAGCTTCTCAGCGCTTTCGATGGCAGCTGGGGAAAAAGAGCGATTGAGGACATCTTTGCGACGCTTAGCCTCGGGGTAGGTCAGGTAGCCAAAACTGGACCTGTCTTCGTTGAAACTCTTGTACAATCGTGCCTCCTTGTCCCAGCGATTTTTATTGTTATAGATGTCTTGGTAAGCCTGGGGGTTGGCAAAGTGGAGCTAAATTGTCATTAGCACCGTGCCACGATAGGTACCGGTACGGTTATGCTTCGGGTGGCTGTTTTTGATTACCTCATTGGGACCAACACGAACAACATGGCCTACATGACAAGCACATGTCAGTATAGAGAAACGTTCAGTATAGAGAAACGTTGGTACAGAACGACTAGGGCGGCTTACCATACTGGGCATGAAGCTCTACAAGGTAGTGACAGAAGGACCGTCTAGCAATGCACTCGGTGTAGGCTTTCCAGTAGATTGTCACCCGTGCGAGCGGCGGCCCCGGAAACTTGGCCAATGGGTGAAAATAGAGGTTGTAGATGACGCCATATGTCGCATACCCAAGAAGAGATGCAATCGCTGCAGAGAGCAGCGTCACCATATTCCCAGACGCTTGGTCCGCCATTGATTCGGAAGAGTGCAGCGAGGGGGTTGGGTGTTGGGGGGGGGGGGGAGAGGAGAGAGGAGAATCAAGTGTTTAGCTACTGGCACGGTGAGTTAACTACCGGTACCGACCAAGTTTTGAACGATTTTGCTAGGTACCCAGTATATTCCGCACTGCTTGCCTTGATCGCAAGATCCCTGCCGACTAGATGCCAGCGATCTTGCCCTTCTGCCCCCTAGACCGTTCATGGCAGTGATCCGAAAAGTTTCGATTGTGATTGCGTGCATGCACTTTGTGCCGAAGGAATGGTGGGATCGTATGGGGGCACACGTGTGAAGCAAAGACTAGGTATTGCACTATGTCCTAACTTAACGTTACCAGCCGGGCGCGCGGGACCCTCTGCCGAGCCGTGCCATGCGACCCCGAGTGGGCGGACCCTTGCACCTTCATTCTGGACTTCCGACGACGACGACGACGACTACTGCCACTACGACAACACCCAACACCATCAGAGAGATTTCTCAGTGCAACCCCAGCCATGGCTGATATCGGGACTCATATTGCATTGGTATGATTCAGGCTCGGTGCGCAACCAGGGCTATCTTGGCTGACGCCATGGGCAGGACTCGGATGAGAACGACTCGACGTACGGCGATGACTCCGCCTCGTAAGACTCCCCCGAGAGCCCGTCTAGAGAAACAAAAAATCCCCCCCCCCCCGCATACGGTATGCTGACATGGGTTGGAGCGACACTACGTCCCTGAAGTCTGCCATTTACAATTACGTGTACCGCAATGGGCGACGATATCATGCGTACAAGGAAGGAGCATACTGTGACTTGCCTTCATGATAAAACACGGCCACTACATATCTGACTAAAACAGGGGGTCCGAACGACGAGTTGCAAGCGGATCAATTGGACATCATGTATGCTATACCCTTCATCTAACGAGGGTCAATATTGACTCTGCAGGCACCACATCTGTCTACTGATGATGGACGGTGAATTATGCATGGCGCCTATTGGAGAGAATCCAATGGTACGTTGCAACACCCATGACGGCGCACTTTGTGCTGATTTCGTTCCGTACAGCATGTATTAGATCTGGGAACTGGCACTGGTAGGCGATCATTAACAACCCGACAAAACATACAAAAGCTGACTTGCTAGGAATATGGGCCATGTTAGTGTCTCGTCCTTTTTCGATCTACTGGCTAATGACTATCGACCAGCGATTTCGCGGATAAATATCCATCAGCTGAGGTAAGCCCAATCGGCAAAGGCAACATTCCGAAGTCTAATCATGCCAATCCAGGTAATTGGAACGGATCTCAGTCCGACTCAACCGTCGATGGTTCCCCCAAACCTACATTTCGAAGTCGATGATTTCACCGAGCCATGGCTATTTCGCAAGGAAAGCTTCGACTTCATCCATGCGCGATCATTGTTCGGCTGTGTAGCCGACTGGCCAAATTTCTACTCGGAAGCAATGGCGTAGGTGCACATGGTCTAACACTACCTGGTGTTAGTTATACTAACATGCCAGTCACCTTGCCCCTGGCGGATACATTGAACAAGTGGAAATATCGGTGGTTCCCATGTCCGACGATGGCTCCGTAACACCAGATTCCATCATGGCACAATGGGGCAAGATATCCCTCGAGCTTGGCGAAAAGTTTGGGAAATCGCTCAATACGGCTAATGAATCAAGAGTCGGGATAGAAGCAGCAGGTTTCATCAACGTTGTCGAGCATCGTTGGAAACTACCTATCGGCGGTTGGCCGGCAGACAAGCGATTCAAGGAACTTGGCCAATGGAATCGCATCAACTGGGAGCAAGGTATCGAAGGATGGTGCATGTATCTGCTGACTACCCTGATGAAATGGACCGTGCCTGAAGTGCAGGTCTATTTGGCAAAAATGAGAGCAGCGCTGAAGGATCGCCGCATACATGCATACCAGGAAGTGTAAGTCCCCGTATAAGCACCTGAGGTTCAAGAGCTAATGCATCTGCTAGGTCACTGGTCTATGGGCAAAAGCCACCACGACAACGCAAGAACGATGACGAATAAACTACTTCTTGCTATAATGGCCTTGCGTTCTTGACTGCTAGCGATCAGCGGCTGTAAATATCTGTATTTCAGAGCTTGCGCTCAACTTTGCGTGGCCCGAAACTATAGGCGTCATCGCATAGGTCGCCTCCTTGCCGCACTAAATAAAGTTTCCCTCGTGACATGCATCATTTACCTCGCATATGTCGTAGTGTCTCCATCGATCACACGCCAGACATCTCATGGGCTATATGGAGGGCCAGATATCAATAATACTTCGCGAAAACTTTTGATAAACTCTTACAGTGTATCTAGCAGACCTACAAAACACTGGCCTACTTTAGAAAGTGATCTCCATCTAGGCTTGTAGACGGTGCATGCAAACATATCCGTACGTTCATGGTTGCTGTATCATCAATGCCTTGGTCACCTGTAACTCTAGAATAGGTTATCCTCTTAGCAGTGCTTGCCTATAGATTGCTCCTATTCTGTAACGACTCAGGTAGGTAGGGCATCCAAAAGGTATCCTATACGACTCAAAGGCATATAGGAGTGCGCGTCTGTATAGAAAAGGATAAGATTCCTACACCTATAGGTCTTGTATAAAAGGATAAGAAGAATATACCTATCCTAACTATAAGCGAGCTATTCTCTATATATATTAGTAAGTTAGGCCTTTATTAGTCCTAACTTAGTATAGAATAATAGGTAGGTAATTCTACCTTATTATTACACTACCCCCTCCTATAGAGAAAGGATAGTCCCTATCCTTAGGATTAGGTTTAGATCCCTTATTAAAGAAGAGCTTTTTGCAAAATAATTCTACCTTTACCTCTACCTTTACCTTTACTTCTTCTTCCTAGGGTATAGACCCCTATCCCTAGCCTGCATATAACTTGTAACAACCCTATTGTGAAGACACCTTGTGGTGTTCTAGTTAATTAGGTGCATCCCTAGCTAGGTTTAGTGTCTTAGCGCCTAAGCTGTGCAAAACCTGCGCTTCGCGTAGGGCTTAGGAAAGATAAGTATTATTCTTGTGTTAATACTATACTAATAGCTATCTCTACACTATTCTATCTAGTATAAAGCAAATACTATTACCTATAACTAGAATATTATATAATAATACTTCCTATTTAATAGTTTAGAGATAGCTCTATCTACGCGTGTAAATAGCTAAGGGGTACTACTAGCAAAAATATAACTACCCCCTATTAAGCTATAACTAAGGGAAGAACTAGTAAGCAGTTCCCCCCTAAGCGATAAGCGGTAAACCCCTACACTAGATGTAGACTTGACGCTTAATAAGCGCATCTAAGCTACCTAAAGGAGACGTAATAAACTCTAGAAACTATAACGCCTACGCGAACTAGAAGCTAAGATCCTATACCTTAAAAGCCTAGAAAGGGACACTACCCTAGACTTAATAAGGAGTATAATAAAGGATATCCCTAAGATACTTAAAAATACGCATAAGTAGGGCGTATCTAGGGCGCTAACGCCCCTACCTTTAAAGCGCATGCTAAAACTAAAGGATCTATTAGAATATAAGGGAAAAAACCTTAAGGAATATTATAAATTCTTTTGCTCTTATAAGGGAGCCTTTCTACTATTGCTGTAGACTTTCTACTATAATAAGGATAAGGTTCTTTAGGCTATATAGTACTTAGCAGGAGACCCCTAAGAACTATAGTACACGCACTTTAAGCGCACGTTTAGAGTAACTACTATAATAGTAACCTAGTTGTATTTTAAGGCGTATATACTTAACTTACTCTCTAACCCTATTAATTACACACTTAAAGTAGCTATAACACACGCTTAGGTAATATAGCGTAGGGACTAAATAGTTCGCTCCTTTATAATATACCTTAAAGTCCTAGAGGATTAACTTACTCCCTATACTAAATAATAGAGAGTCTAGTATCTTTTCTTAAAGCTAAGGCTAGAGATATAGCAAGCAATTACTAACTACTACTAAGTACTAGTAACAAGAGAGGATTTAATAGCGTTAGGCTCTACACTTAAGTAAAACCTACGCTAACCCTCCCTAACGCGCGATTATAACACACGTCCTAAAGGAAACACTAGATATAGGGACTAGAAGCTAGGGGAGAAGCTACCTCCTCCTATAAATAAGCTACCTTAAGATAAGAATAGTATTACCTATTTTAAATATTAAAAGAAAGGCTACTACGCTAATAAGTATAAAAGTAGCAACCTAAATTAGATCCCTGTGCGTATTAATAAGACAGGAAAAGCTTAAGCCTTACTAATAACCTAGGGATAGTAAGGCGTATTCTAATATATATCTTACTAGGCATAAAGCGTATATATAGCGTAGCTAGGGAGATAACCCTAGAGAGATAACTATAGGTTATTTTAGACCCTTAGGCAGATATTAGCCTAATTAGTTAAAAGACTACTATTAAAATAAGCCTACTACCTATTAAAGGAGCAGAGCTTCCTTAGTTAGGCTAGATTAGGAGATAATAATAGAGCACTTACGTAGTATATATACTCTAGGTACACTTAGCTAATAATATAGGCGTTAAGCGCTATGTGCAGATAACTATGTATAGCGTTAATAAGGAGGGCTCTCTACTACTACTTAGTAACCTATTCCTCTAGTAAGGATATATTTACCTTAACTATAGCTCTTAAGCCTAGAGATAGGGATATAAAGTAGCTAGTATTTAGCTTGTTACTACTAAAGAGTTAGAAGAAGATATATAATAATTAGGTCTTAACCTACTACTTCTTAGTGTTATCTAGACTACTAGCATAGACTTAGAATATAATACCTATATCTACTAAGCATATATAGTGTAAGAGCTACGTATACTAAATACTTTAAAGGACTACTCTAATATCTTTAGCAAGGAGGTAGCTACTACCCCTCTAAATTTTAAGTCCTTAGACTATACTATTCCTCTCCTAGAAGGAAAGGAGCCTCTATATAGTCCGCTCTACAACCTCTCCTTACGTGAGCTAAAGCTACTTAGAGAGTACTTAGAACAAGCGCTACGTAATAGCTAGATTTGCTATAGCACTAGCCCTATAGGGGCCCCTATCCTATTTATTCCTAAGAAAGATAGAACACTTTACCTTTACGTAGATTACTGTGGTTTAAACGCAATTACTATTAAAGATTATTACCTACTCCTACTAATTAGAGAGACCCTAGACTGCCTGTTAGGCGCACGCTACTATACAACCCTAGACCTCTAGAATGCCTACTATAGAATGTAGATTAAGGTAGGAGATAAATAGAAAATAGCTTTCTGTATATGCTACAGTTATTTTAAATATCTAGTAATACTATTTAGGCTAACTAATACCCCTGCTAGCTTCTAGGCCTATATTAATAGAGCCTTAATTAAACACCTAGATTATATATGCGTTATATACCTAGATAATATCCTTATCTACACTAGTAGTAATAAAGTTACGCTCTACTAGCATGCTATACGCGCTATGCTTTAATTACTACGCAACGCAGAGTTATTTATTAACCTACTAAAGTGCACCTTTGTATCTAATAAGGTCTACTTTCTAGGCTTTATTATTAGCACGCGAGGTATATGCGCTAATCCTGCTTAGGTAGAGAGTATTACCTAATAGCTATAGCTAACAAATATTAAGGAACTACAATCTTTTCTAGGTTTTGCTAACTTCTACTAATACTTTATTGCAGGCTATACTATATAGACTACCCCCCTTACTAATTTACTTAAAAAGGATAATAGCTTTACTTAGACACCTACTGCAGACAAGTCTTTTAAGATACTTAAAGGATACTTTTTAAGCGCGCCTATCTTACGCTACTTTAACGCTAAGCGCCCTATTTAAGTAGAAATAGATACTTCTACCTTTACTATTATAGGTATCCTTTTATAACTTTTTAAAGACAATAAATAGCACCTAGTTACCTTTATTTTAAGGAAATTATAAGCTACTAAGCTAAATTATAAAGTCTATAACCTAGAGCTACTAGCTATTATTTATAGCTTTAAGTAGTAGTAGCACTACCTAGAAGGTACCTAGCATACTATATAAGTGCTAAGTAACTATAATAACCTACGCAGGATACGCGCTGTATAGAAGCTAAACCTATAATAAGCTTATTAGGTAATATATCTAGGAGCTTTTAACTTTAAGGTAGAGTATAGATTAGGGAAAACTAACCCTATAGATAGCCCCTTAAGAAGGGTAGATTATATATAGGAGAACCTGTTACTAACCTAATTATTACCTACCCTATAAAGTAAACTACTTATAAGGGATAGACTTAGTAGAGTAAGTAGATCTATAGATAAGCAGAGCTTGTTAGGCGCGTGTAAGACGCACGTTACTACAGTTTACAGAACTAGAAAGGTCCCTACTACTAGCGCTATAGTGTGTACGCTATACGTGCTACGCTTACTAGCTAGGGTATTAGCTAGTAGTAAACCTATAATAGTAGAGTACTAATTACTTATTAAGACCTTACGCTAGTTATAGTAGGGGGACGCCTTTGTATAGCAACAGGTTACAAGCTTAATACCTAAGGATAGTACTTAAAACTATAGAAAAGCGCACGTTTAGCGCTTAGATAAGAAGGAAGTCCTAAGATATAATAGTAGGATATATGTTCTAGAGGAACTAGCTATTAGGTAAGAGATTTTATTCTAGAACTATAACTTACGTATAGTAGGCCACTTTAGCACATATAGGACGCTTAAGCTAATTAAGAGGATATACTACTAGCCTACTCTATATTAAGATGTCTAGGATTATATAAGAATATGTGCTATTTACTAAAGGAGTAAGGCTCTAAGGTATAGCTAATATAGAAAGCTATTACTACTACTAGTCCCTAGAGAAATCTTTAAGGAAGTCACACTAGACTTTATTACTAGCCTACTACTAGTAAAGGACTCTACTAGTTGCGTATTTAATGCGATCCTTATAATAGTATATTACTTCTTAAAGATAGCACTCTATATACCTGCTTTAAAAATATAAGATATAAAATAGTT